CCCGGACAACCGAAAGGGACAGGTCAAAATATGACCGGTCACTTTTATCAATCACCAAATGAGGTTAACTCTTCGATTGGGACGGGTCAAAAGTTGACCGGTCACTTCCACTAAAAAAGTGACCGGTCACATTTTGGGCGATAGCCAAAATGTCGCCTAATGTTACAAAGGACATTCTAGAAGACCAGAGACGGGTTGAGCACAAAGAATGACCGGGTAACTTTTGAGAGAAGGTGACCGGTCATATCACTTTACTTGGCTAACATTGGTTCAGTCTCTTAGGCATGGTGAACCACGTCAGAGGTCAAGGGGACACCCCGCCGCTCATCCATCACGAGGCACACAGTGAAAGGGATGTTTGTCATTTTGCAGGGTTGATTGGATTGAGAATATCCATTTTAGTCTTTGATTGAACAGTACATGTCTTGGCCTATAGTTGCTAAATTCTATGATTGTACAGTGTTCCCATTATCTACAGTGACCTTCCCACGAGCTTCCTATTTTGTCCATGGATGAACAGGGGAAGGTCACAAATCCTCCTCTATAAATATGATGATATGGGATAGAGGAGGGGATCCAATTTTTCTCTCACTAAAGTTCACTCTTGAGATAGAGTAAGAAATATAATTCGGACTGAGGAGATTTACCCGGTCTAGGTCATACTTTGTGTTCTTGTTGTGTGTTTTATATTACGGGTCGAGTGTGTCCAGGTCAAACCCGGTTAACCCACCCCGCTATATTTACACCATCAGGTGGTGTGTTTTTAGCATTATCAAAAAAAAAGTGGAACCTCAAATTGAGTTTGGATTCAAGAAAGAAAAGTCCATTTTTTATTTTTTGAGTTAGGCTGAAATGAAAGCCCACAAAAATGTGCCCAACTTTGTACTCTACCGGTGGACAAAATAAATGCTCATTTAGATTAATTAATGTGTTCTTTTACTAAGATAAGATTGATTAGAGGCCACATTTTGAAGGGGCACTTAATTATGGTGTACCAAATTCTGAAGATCCCTCTCAAAGATTTTTTCCATATTATTCTCTCATCTTTTAGACGCTCTTACATGACACAAAAATATGATCAAATTTTATTTAGTCAAATCAATTACAGATATCTCGCTTTCCGCAGTAATATGAGATTTCAGATCTACAAGGAGTCTGATGAATCGTGTTCCAACCAGCGAACAAAAAACAAAAACAGCTCAACCATAATTAAAATAAATTTCAAAAATTATATATTTTTATTAGTAAGGTAATCTTCATGCTTTCACCTAATCAAAGAAAAAGAAGATGCTGAAATAAGTGAGACCAAAGCATGAAGGCAGTTGAGGTGTTTGGAGAGTGATGAGATCAAATGTTTAAGTTTGTGTGTGTGTGTCAAACAACAATTGGGTAAAGCCAATTGACAACCAAAAGTGACAAAGCTTGTTGGGAAGATGACTCATATAGCCCTACATTTGTCTACATTGTCAAGACAGGTTAATTACCCATAGAGACCAGATTGTCACCATATGGTTCATGTCAAGAAAGTGGCTACATTTTGCTTTGTGCCAAGCCTTTGACAACATATTGTTCTTATTAAAATAATATTGTTACTATTGTTTGTCTTTAATATTTACCCTGACTCAAAATTAAAAAGATGCTATTCGTTTTGAGAAAAAGTCTAAGATGAGACATAAACATTGCTCTTATATAGGCAATGTTTACTCCTCTTCATTTTCTGACTAGAATAAAGTCATATGCAGAATCTTCAACATATGTTAGTGCAGCCATTTAAAAATAAACTCATATTTCGAACAAAACTTTGACCAGAATATATGTTAACCTAATTCAAATAGTGCCATTGGGGGAGGGTTTGGGAGAGTTAGAAATACTTTGAAATAGAGTTGATGAGCATCGTAGAATGTTGAAATTGACCTGTGGCATAATATATACTCCCTCCGTTCTCAAAAACACTTCATCTTTCATTTTTTTCTCTTCCAACAAAATACTTCCACTTTCTATTAAAAAAACCACTTTTGCCTTTACCTTTTCATACCTTACATATCACATCATACTTTTTCTCTAACAATCTATCCATCACATCTTATTTTTACCCATCACATCAAGGGCAAAATTGGAAGTCAACTACAATTTAACACTTCTTTATTTTTCCATTTTTTCAAAGTAGGAACTCTTTTTGAGAACGGAGGGAGTATTATATTACATTGGTGGCCAGTGTCAAAATAATCGAGCCAAAATAATATAGCTATACTACAAAGTATTTTTTATTTTGTAGAATGTTTTATATACTCTCTCTGCTTCAAGATGGATGCTCCTGTTACTATTACGGTCTCTCGATAACATTTGTTTATTTATATGTTTTCATTGACCATTTGATAAAATAAAATATTTTTGTTACCTCTTATTTTGTAGAAGTTTTTATGTATTTTTGAATGGTATAAATTACATTCTTTAATTTATTTCTAACCAATTTATATTTAAAATAATTTTAAAAATAATAGAATTCTGCACGTTGTTCGAAGAGTGACATTGATAGTCCGATGGAGGGAGTATTTAATAAATATATAAATTTAAATTTCTTTCTTTACTTATTTACATTATTATTTATTAAAATAGTAATAAAAACATGTAATTTTTTGTTTTAAGTTTTATAATTTCATTTTGTATATCTAAATATGATTTTTGAATTTTACACCAGTATCAAATTAAAAGTACTTAACTTAGATCAAATAGGGGTGTTTTTTAATTCTACCCGTAAATTTAAATAGTTTGAATCAAAAACAATACTACTCAAATTAAACATTATACTCTCTCCTTGATTACAATTTTTTCCCCTCTTCTCGATAACTTTTGTTTGTTTACGCGATTTTATTAAATATTTGATAAAATAAAATATTCTTGTCACCTCTTGTTTTGTAGAACTTTTGACATAGTTTTTTAATATGTAATTTTTATATGTTATTGATATACCAATTTGTAAATAAAATGATTTAAAAAAGTAAGAAATTTTACTTTGTAACCCGCAATTTGTAATCTATTTAGGGAGAGTGAGTACAAAAATTCATTTTGGAATACAAGAAAGTAGGTAGTAGTTTTAAACTTGTGTGTATTTGTCAACCACAAGTTTTGTGTCATAAGTGATAAAAGTGATTGAGTAACTATTTGTAAAATATTTTGTAAGAAAAAGACTATCTTTGGCACTTAGTTTAAATGGACATCTTTCATTTAATTACAAAAAAGAAAAAAACAAAGCAAGTACTGAAAAATGATAATGTAAAAGTGTAAAACAAAGATAATGTAAAAGTGTAAATGATATCATTAAAAAGTAAACTACTGTTTTTCTTTTCCAAAAAAACAATCTTCCTTGGATTTACTAATTAATCACTTTTTCTTAATGAATTGCCATTTTTACCCCGCCCCTGGTATCCAACTTTTACCTATGTGCGATACTATGAGTTTTGTGTCAATCCGAAAGTAAAAAAAACCTAAAATATGATTGGTCCAAATATATGGTCCAATATATGTTGGGATATATACTCCATCCCATAGGAGGAGAACCCTAATTAATAAATTGGTTATGTTAATCTCATTAGTCCAAAATGGATAATGTGGGGTTCGGTTGACGCTACGGGCGCGATATAAACCTGTGGTATCAGAGAAGGACCCGACTAGATCCGTGGAGGGTCCGGGTTTTGTGCAAGGAGTAGGCAGATGGTGCCATGCGTTGTGCTGAAGATCAGAAACGGATAAACTCTAGATGGGATAGGAGGTCACGAACGAGATTGTATGGTCCAATTGCTTCTTTGAAACAACACATTACAATAAAAGTAAAACCAAAACTACATTAAAAGCTTCATTCATAGACCAATATATACCATAATATGTACAACAAGCTAGAGATGATGACCAATATCATCCTCAGCTCATGGGACATAAACCCATAAAACATGCATTATATTTGTCCATACCAATGTTCTAAAAATTCCTTACTAAACCCAATTACAGCAATTAGTCACCCCTACCCATTGCTCTAATCCATTAATTATTAGTACTGCTCTTCCATCCTCATTTTTTTAGAACACTGATTATTCCTTAATTACTCCGTATTAGCTTAACTATTACCAAGTTTGAAATTAAAGTTTGATATACCATGTGTTTCATAAACATTACATATTCAGACAATAACTGTCTCTGAAACACATGGTGTTAAATTTTAATGTCAAACCTGGTGTGACTGTAGCACGTTACTTTTATACCTAGCTCTCTCTTCGATCGGCTTCTCCTACTCCGAGAGAAGCTAGTAAAAGGAGACGGTAGAAGCCGATCTCGAGAGCAGCTTCTTAGAAGAAGAAGAAGAGGGGGACGCGGGCAAAGACGATGGCGGAGAAGCGGCGGCGGCGGATCTCCGCCGCAACATTTGCCTCATCCCGTCGGCGACGCGGAAGGCGGGGTTGGACTTGTTGGATTTGCCGCAAAAGGACATGTGGGCCCGCACGGCGTCGGGCAAACCGAACTCCGCCGCCGCCATGTTCTTCGTCTTCTTCTTCTTCTTCCCCATCACCACCTGCACCCTGTTGAGCAAAGCCCACACAGCCATTTCCCTTCAAACTTTGACCTCACCTCAATTATGTAGTCTTGTGTGCACTCTTCTTCCAGCCCACAACACTCACAGCTTGCCATTTCTATCTCCATAATATATTTTATTTATTTATTTATTTATTTATTCTTCAAACTAATATATAATTAAGTTGTGGGGTGGGGGGGAAGAAAGGGAGGGAGGGAGGGAAGTAATTATACTGTGGAAAGCTTCCATGATTTTCTCCCATTTTGCAAAGGAACATATAGGCTGTGGAACATGAGACAATTTCATCCTTGGGTGGGACCCTCATACCTAGTCCTTTTCAAGCATTTTTTGTATTTTAAAATTAGCTCTTTCTTTCCTCTCTCAATTAATTGTCAAATCACCAATAATACCAAGTTTTATGGGATTTATTTTTAAACTAACTTAGTTTTTATTTTTAATAATCTAATTTATTTTTTAAATAAAATTATCAACTCAGCATTTTTTTTGTAAATCTTTGGATACTCTCGTGTGATTTATAGAGAGTGAAATTTGAATTGAATATAACTAAAACATAAGTCATTTCTCAATGTAGAACTTAAAATTTTTTATTCCTTAAATAGGACTTAATAATGACTAGTGAGAAGAATAATGTCCAAATAATGCTGGACATTTAATTGAATAATGACTAATAGATAATGACTAATGGTCCTACATTGGAAAATAAAAACATATGGTCCTATATTGAGAAAGTCATTATGTTTTAGTCCTATTTAGCTAAATTACCCATCAATTTTTTATAGTACTTTTTCCATCTTAAAACTAATTTTTCATTACACTTTAGAATGTTTGACTTAGGTTATTTTATAATAACTATATCAAAAAATTATATATTCATATTTAATAACTACATAAAAAATTCCTCGAAATTAGTGTTGACATTACTATATTATTTTATCAAATAAGTAACGAAGATACGATAACAAAATAGATAAAATTTGACTTTGTATATAGTAAACGAGAAGATAATTTTCGAACGAAGAAAGTACTCCCTCCGTCCTAAAACTATCTTCTGAGTTACTATTCACACAGCCAAACTTAAATCACTTTCTTTACCTATTTTCGTTAGTTATTTGATAAAATTAATTATATAGTCTTGTCATCTCTTGTTTTGTAGGACTTTTGATGTAGTTCTTAAATATATAAATTTTATTTTTTAATTTTACACCTACAATCAAATAAATTGAATTAAAAATAAAGTCAGTCAAACTTCGTAAACATAAACGAAAAAATAGTTCTAGAACAGAGGGATTACATTTTAAAAGGGAGAATAAACAAGGTCGGGGTGCCTAGAGAAGTGGAGTCGGGTATAGGGAACAAGTAAGGAGGTTTGAGGGAGAAAGATTATGGATAAAAATCACTTTCGGGTTGAATAGAGCACCGTATAAGTTTGAAATGATTCCAATGTCATACTCTTTCCGTCCCAAAATATTTTAAACTTTACGTAAATCAAAATAAAATTTTAATGTTTTTTAAAATTCATTTTATTCAAAAATTGGTATAGAAATTAAAAACAAAATTTACATATTTAAAAACTACGTTAAAAGTTCTACAAAACAAAAGGTAATAATAAGAATATTTTATTTTATCAAATAATCAATCACAATATACAAATAAATATAAGTTTTTGTAACTTGTAAACAATAAAGAGTATAATTCTTTTGGACGGAGGAAATATATAATTCAATATAAAAAAGTTGATGTCAAAACAAACGTGGTAGGTAATATTTATAAAAGAGCAATTATTGAATACCAAAAATTCAACCCAAAAAAAGACAGTTAAATTTTCTACTCATATGACTGTGTGAGTCATGACGAAATTAAAGAAGCATATTATTGGTGGCTAGGTATCATAATTTTTTATTAATTTGTCTTTTTAGTACATTGGAGGGACCATAATATATATTGTTACATAGATAAGTATGATTTTTTAGCAGTTAATTATATAGACTTAAATAAATGATTTAGATTCTGCCCTTAACCTAAATAAAGGCTAATTAAGCTGCTGAGATTCTTCTAAAATTACTACGTACATCAATTACACCAGCTTCCGTTGACCAATTCATTCATTCATTTTTAATCCTTACTCTAAACAGTTTAATCTAACTTATTATTCACTTTGTCCTGAAATATTCTTCTCATTACGTGTTCTGAGACTTAATTAATTTTATTTTTAATTTAGTTTATTTGATTATATGTGTAAAGTTTAAAAAAAATTATATATTCATAAACAACATAAAAATTTGCAAAACAAGATATATGTGACGTACATGAATAGGGTTTATAATCAAACGAGTAGTGAAAATAATAGAAAAAATGAATAAAGTTTGATGGTGTGAATTGTAAGAACAAGAATATTTTCAAATAGGAGTAACAATTTAAAAAAACTAAACCCAACTCCCAATGTGTCCCAATATAGGCTCAAATAAATTAAATTATAATCTCAGTCTAATCGAGAAAGACTGAGATTTGTCCCTGGATGTACAAGAATCTCATGCACAGATTCACTCTTCATCGTAATTGTCAAGATTCAGATCTCAATTTATCTCAAATGACACTATCTTCTCGACTAGTTGAGGTACGTACACCCCACAGAAGCAATTAATATTGTTATGAGTAACTACTTATAATTTAATTTAAAATTATTTTTAAATTAAATTACGTACACCCCACAGAAGCATCACACCCATACATAAAGGGCCATTATTTTCTTTAATTATTTTTTATTTTAATTTTAAATTAATTTTGAAGTTTTCAAATATGACATTAGATATTTGAGGATTCTACAATATTGGCCCAATCTACAATAGTGGTGTGTTAACTTCTGCCTAATAACCTCTTTATATACACCCAAGGGAAAATCCTAATTAAGTCGTATAAGGATAATTACGTCCATCGAATAATTATCAATTAAGAATAATGCTTGGTTCACAAACAAAATAATCACAAACTTCACAAACTTACTAATTTTGAACTTCAATAAATAAAATAAAATAGTCTACAATAATTTTAAAATGAAAAGTTAAACTATAAATAGTAAGTTTGTGAAGTTTATGAGTATCTTGTTTGTGAATGTAGCATTGCTCATCAATTAAATACGTAGGGTATTTATTACGTTAATGATTAATTAATTAGATAAATGATAACTCAGTCCATGTAATAAAAAATCATGTCCTACAATTCTGACACTACAATTCAATGTTATTTTATGACATTAGATATTTGAGGATTCTACAATATTTTGTTAGGTGTAAAGTGATGTTAAATTCTCTTTAGGGGAATTTACCTAAATAGAATTAAAACATAATGACTTTTTCAATATAGGATCATATGTCTTTATTTTCCAATATAGGATCATTGGTCATTATCCATTAGTCATTATTCAATTAAATATCCATCATCACTGGACATTATTTCTCTCACTAGACATTATTAAGTCTTATTTAGAAAATAAAAAAATTTAAGTCCTACATTAAGAAATGACTTATGTTTTAGTCCTATTTAGTTCAAACTTTTCTTCTCTTTACCCCTTCTCCTATTCTAAATGAAAAGAGAAAAGGGTTGGAGGACGAAGATAACTAGTACTCCCTCCGTCCCATAAAACATTTCCTGTTTCAAAAAAGACGCGCCCTTAAAATGAGTAATTTTGGTGTTATTTTCTAATTTTTCTCTTAATTTATAAAAGAGTAGGATGAGATGTGTAGAATAGATTAGTCGTAATTAAAAAATAACACTAAAATTACTTATTTTAAAGGCGTGCCATTTTTTAAACAGGAAATGTTTTATGGGACGGAGGGAGTAGTATCAATATTTATAGCAATTTCACGTCTAATCCTTAAGTAATTTAATTATCCAAAACTATGTGATTATACCAAAATCATAAACAAAAAATGCCTACCCTAGTAAGAGTAATCAAGGTAGAGATATGTAGAACACTAATACCTTGTTTTGTTCAAGGAATTTGAAAGGGAATATATATATATATATATATATATATATATATATATATATATATATATATATATATAATCAATTTTGGTGGGTGATTAAAAAGAAAAGAAAAAATAGGGAAAGACTTAAAAGGTGAGAAAAATGTAAGCTGAAATGGAAGAGTAATGCTAGATGTTTACCAAATGGGGTACCTTAGTTATACACCAATGCTTTTAGTCTTTTACACACATACACATGAAAGAAACTTAATACGGAGTATATGTGTACATACAGATATTGAGTGTCTGTGTGTGTTTGAAAAGACATTGATATACGAATAGAATAATAGAATACACCATTTGGTGTAACTGCATTATTGAAAATGAAAATATGAATTTCTTTTAGTTTCTCCCCTCGTCCTTGCCCTCCCAGTTAGGTCATGTTCTTTTGGTCTGATCTAAATGATTCTGATTAAAATACATTCTAATTTGATCTGGTCAGATTTGTTCTGATTTCAATAAGAATAAGTAGTACTCCCTCCGTTCCTTTAAACACTTCCTATTTTGACTTTGGGCCAAAATAAGGAAAGTGTAATTTTAATTGACTTTCTAATTTTGTCCCTGATGTGATGGGTAAAAGTAAGATGTGATAGTTTGGTTATTAGAGAAAAAGTATGATGTGATAGGTATGGTATGAAAAAGTAGGGGTAAAAGTGGTTTTTAGGGGATTGAAAAAAAAACGAAAGGGGAATGGTTTTTTGGAACGGATGGAGTATCTAAAAAATAAGTTGGGGAGAACATGACCTTAATTTATTTCTTCATTCATTTTTTCTACAACAACCATATGAAAAAATTCTAAGTAAAATTTGTACTGAATAAGACTAAAACATAAGTCATTTCCTAATTTTAGACATATACTTTTTTATTTCCTAAATAAGACTTAATAATGACTAGTGAGAAGAATAATGTCTAAGTGATGCTGGACATTTAGTTGAATAATGACTAATAAATAATGACCAATGGTCCTACATTGGGAAATAAAAACATATGATCCTATATTGAGAAAGTCATTATGTTTTAGTCCTATTTACGTAAATTATCCATAAATAAATCATT